AGAACGCCGGATACGCATGCTACGTATTACGTCATTAGATAGATGATTTAGAGATTATAGAATATATATTGCTAAAACTACGTTATAGTACTTAGAACAAGGCATGCATWTATTTTCTGAACTTATTTCTTACATCTCTCGTTCTAAACACTACAACTTACCTAAAAATCTATTCTTTTCAAAATTTCAAGATTATAAACCGTAATATCAAAGCTGCTGCCATAGTTCTTTCATATATCGTCTATTTTATTTTTTTTCCACTTTTTTGTGAAGATTCCGTTCATAAGGTTYAGTGTGGTGGAAGCTTGCKCGCACATCTTTGTGTGCGCCATTTGCGCCTCCAACGCACTTTCTTTTGCAGATATTTTCCTTTTGCGGAATGGCTGCTGAGTCGATGCATCATTGTCGTCAGAGCCCGAACTGTCGTTAAGAGCCGCTAGTTTGTCATTTTTTCTCTCTTCTGTTTTTTTTTTTCGTTTTTTTTTGTACTGTACACCTTCACCAGGTAATTGTCAGGTCAGGGTGTATATCAGGTGTATATCACATGCCCGCAATTGTTTTCGACATAAAAATATGCTTTTCCAGTAGACTTTATCGTTTTCGGCGTGTGAACATGCAGTTAAGGTCCGCCCTTGTCGCAATTTAATTGTTTTAATTCAATTATTTTCGTGTAGAACGCCTGTCCTAAAAATTATCGAGTCTATTGCACGAAACTGGAAACAATAGAAATCACTTCATGTAGATAATTTGAGCCTCAATTCACAGAAAAAAGCACTAAATAATCAACACCTTATGCAAACCGGTAACGCCCAAAAATTAAACTATGAAAACCAAACTTCAATCCGGAATAACAATCTCGCGGGACAGAAATGGTAAACATGAATATTAGACAGCTACGTTTGGTTCATGCATCTATTTCAACTATGATGCCTTTGTTAGTTTTGTTACGGTTATACCACGTACACTGGTGATGCCTGAAGAGAACCATCACACTCTATTTATATTGGTCAACATTTTGTTCCAGCTTATCCATCTGCTAACAACCATGCATGCCTCCTTTAATGCTACAAATTTGATACTAAGATATAGCCTTTTTCCTGATTTTTATGGTCACGACTTCCAAGGGCGCGATACTTTTTTGATATATGATCTACCAACAAAGATACTTATTCTGGTTAAACACTGGGGAGACTCCTGAATCTGTCTTAAATACAGTATATCATGTAGGTCCTTATTTAGCTTTATTGAATAGGCGCGGGCAACTTAGTCGACACATCGGTAGATATAAATTGAACATGGTCAACAGAATTTTACTTGTTCTTATATGGATTCGTAGATATCCTCACCTTGACAGTCTTGCGCTACTATTTGACGTCAGCCCTCAGATCATACAGGCGTTACTTTATCAAGGAATTCTGGTGTTGTTGAGGCACTTTCCAAGAATGGTATCCTGGCCAACTGTCCAACAGTGGAATGTTATGCGACATACGTGGAACGAATTTCCAGACGCTCTAAGCAGTATGGGTCATGCAGTATCGACGTGACTCCACACGAAATATGCATACCTTTCACAGAACCACAGAGACAATTTTACAACGGACAAAGACACTACCACTTCTAAATACCCAGCTAATTTGTGACAATCAAGGACATATACGTTATCTTCAGGCAGGTTTCCTAGGCAGTGCTCACGATTCTCTAATGTTTCGTTTTATAGAAACAATAGGTCCTGGCTTAGCCCTAGACTTCCCAGAAAATGCTTTTTTACTAGCTGATA